TGCGCGCCCTCTGCTGGCCCAAGCGAAAAGCGCAGCCTGGGTGTGCGCTCCGGTGCAGACCCGCGCCGGGACGGGGTTCCCCGAACCCAGCCAAGTCGCCGCCCCGCCGCCGCCGCCGCCGTCGCGGCGCCCCGTGTGGTTGTTATTTCATGCGTATTGCACGCCCTGGAGAGCGAGCGCCGGGCTGGCCGACCGCAGGCTGCGCGTGGGGTCCTCGCTCTCCCGGGATCGGAACCAGGTCGCTGTCTCCACGCGCCACCCGCCCCCAGCCGGGCGCGGCGGGGACCGCCACCTGGCGGCCGGGGGGGAACGGGCCGAAAGGTCGCGGCCGCAGAATTCTCAGCCCACGCTTCCAGGCCCTCGTACCCCATGGCCGGGCCTCCAGCACCCATAGTCTTCACTCCCAGCATGCTTGGCTCTGCACTCCTGCCCAAGACACAGGGACGAAGGGACCTGCCAAGGTCACACAGCGGGAAGGGCAGAATGGGAGTCAAAAACCAGGGCACGCGTGTAATCCCACACTTTGGGAGGCTGAGGCAGGAGGCTCGCTTGAGGCCAGGAGTTAGACCAGCCTGGGCAACATAGCAAGACCTCGTCTCTACAAAAAGTCAAAGAAATTAGCCGGGTGTTTTGGTGTGTGCCTGTACTCTTAGCTACTCGGGAGGCTGAGGTGGAAGGCTCTCCTGAGCTCAGGAGGTCGAGGCTGAGGTGAGCTGTGATTGTGCCACTGCACTCCAACCTGGGCAGCAGAATAAGACTCTGTCTCACAAAACGAACAAACGAAAAACCCAGGTTTTCTCCACCTCAGACCAGCGAGTAAGACTCATGTTGCAACCCTGCTCGCTGACGCGCTGTGTGACTTGGGGCCAGCGTTAGTACCTTCCTGAGCCTCTCGGTTTCCTCATCAGTCATACCGGGCTGAAAAATAAGAAGTGCCCACCCCCAGGACTGTGGTGAGGCTACGATGACTGACTTAGAAGCTGGGCAGCCGGGAGCTGGTGTTTTGAGAATGCACTTCCTCAAATGACATCAGTGGAGAGAAAGGGGCCGTCCCCCAAACTGCAAAGCTGGCTGGCAGGGAGGGTGCCCCATATTTCACTGGTGACAGATTGACTGCCAGCTCCTATGACTTGCAGGAAATTGGGGCCTTGGGCCTCGAGGAGCCACAGCCTAGAAGGATGAGAACAGAGTTTTGGGGAGGCCATCTGAGCCCACCACTTTCACTGCTAACTAGGAAAGAGTATAGAAATCCAGCTTTGGGGCTGGGTGTGGTGGCTCATGCTTGTAATCCCAGCACCTTGGGAGGCTGAGGCAGGAGGATCACTTTAGTTCAGGAAGTAGAGACCAGCTGGACAACATAGCAAGATCCCATCTCTACAGAAAAGTTAAAAAAAAAACAACAGCCTGGTATGATGGTGGTGCCTGTAGTCCCAGCTACTCGGGAGCCTGAGGCAGGAGGATCACCCAGACCCAGGAGGTCAAGGCTGTAGTGAGCTATGATAGTACCACTGCATTCCAGCGTGGGCAACAGAGTGAGACCCTGTCTCTTTTAAAAAAAAGAGAAAATCCAACTTCGGCTGTTACTTGCTGTGTGACCTTCGCCTGTCAGAGCCTCAGTTTCCTCATTTATAGCAGAGGCATTCGCTCCACAAACATCGAGCCTCTCCAGGTCTTTGGCTCAGAATGCTGTGGCCCCAGTCCCAGCTGTCCTAGAGTTCTCAGCCTGGGGATAGAGCAGAAATAGCAAGTATAACCCCACGGTCATTCCAGAGGGTGACATGTGGCCTATGAAGAAAAGGATCCTGAGGTCAGGAAAGGCCTCTCCGAGGAGGTGACATTTTTTTTGGAGTCGGAGTCTCTCTCTGTCACCCAGGCTGGAGTACAGTGGCACGCTCCCGGCCACCGCAGCCTCGACTGGCTGGGCTCGGGCGATCCTTCCACCTCAGCCTTCCAAGTAGCTAGAACCACAGGCACGTACCACTATGCCTGGCTAATTTTCTTTTATTTATTGTAGAGATGAGGTCTCACCATGTTGCGCTGGCTGGTCTCAAACCCGTGGCCTCCCAAAGTGCTGGGATTACAGGCATGAACCACCATACCCAGCTCTTTTTTTTTTGAAAATATAGTTTATTTAGAAAATAAATTAGAGAGAAGCTGGGTGCGGTGGCTCAAGTTTATAATTCCAGCACTTTGGGAGGCCAAAACGAGAGGATTGCCTGAATTCAGGGGTTCAAGACCAGCCTGGACAACTTGGCGAGACCTCATCTCTAAATAAAATAAAATAAAAAATTAGTCAGGCGTGATGACACACTCCTGTAGTTCCAGCTACTTGGAAGGTTGAGGTGGAAGGATCACCTGAGCCCAGCAGGTCGAGGCTGTGGTGGCCATGAGCATGTCACTGCACTCCAGCCTGGGCAACAGAGTGAGACTCTGATTTTAAAAAATAATAATAATTAGAGAAGAGAGAGAGAGAGGAAATTCACTTCCCCAGGGGAGGGGAGGGAGCCAAAGCTTAGGAAATCATGGCAGGCATAGCACAATAAACACATAACCTGGTCAGTACTTAGCAAAGCAATGGCTATGCCCAGCTTTTAATGTTTTTAAGACATAAGATCTCACTGTGTTGCCCAGGCTGGTCTCAGACTCCTGGCTTCAAACAGTCCTCTCGTTTTGACCTCCCAAGGTGCTGGATTACAGGCATGAGCCACTTAAGCCTCCCAAAGTGCATGAATTACAGGCATGAGCCACTGTGCCCGGCCATAAGTGACAGTTGAGCAGAGACCTAAAAAAGTGAGGAAGGATGCTATGTGGGTGTCCGGTGGGAGAGAACAGCCATTGTCAAGGTCCTGTGGTAGGATCATGTCTGATACGTTGATGGCAAGAATGTCCGGGCAGAGTGAGCAAGGGGTGTGTGGAAGGAAGTGAGGCAGGAAGGGGGATGATGAGCGGCTCACGGAGGACCTCGCAGGCCGCAGTCAGGGTTCCCTTCAGGCCTCAGTTTACCTCTAGCTTCCTTGAAGGGGGGAGAGGCCACTGGGCTGGAAGGAAACTGGTCTCCGAAGGACTCCTGTAGCCTAGTGGCTCAAAGGCCTGTCTATGGAGCCAGACAACTGGGTCTGTAGTCCAGCTCTGCTGCCTCTGGACTGGGTGGCCCTGGCCAAGTCACGTCCCCCTCTCTGGACCTCAGCTTCCCTATCTCTGAAATGGGGGTCTAGTGAGAACCCAGGTCCCAAGTGCTTATCTGAGGAGTCAGTAAAGCAAGGCAGGGAAGCTAAGGGCAGTGAAGCCTTCACTGGACAGTGGACAAGCATGTCTTTCCTGTCAGGCACAATGACTCACACCGGTAATCAGCACTCGGGAGGTTTAAGCAGGAGGTCAGACGTGTGAAAGCAGCCCGAACAATATAGAAAGACCTTCTTTCTTTCTTTTTTTTTTTAGAAAGCAGGATTTCTTGAGAGGACAGAAAAGCTCTCACAGTGGGAGGGGACCCGAAGGGGTTGCCCCAGAGAGACCCTATTTCTAAAAAGAAAAAAAAAATGAGCTACTCGGGAGGCTGAGGCTAGAGGATCACTTGAGCCCAGGAGGTCGAGGCTATGGTGAACTGTGATCATGCCACTGCACTCCAGCCTGGGCAACAGAGCAAGACCCTGTCTCTCACTCACACACACACACACACACACACACAGACACAAAAGTCCTTCCTATTTGTACAGACTGTGGGGGCCTGCACTCCAGCCTGGGCAACAGAGCAAGACCCTGTCTCTCTCTCTCTCACACATACACACACACACACACACACACACACACACACACACACAAAAGTCCTTCCTATTTGTACAGACTGTGGGGGCCTGGTGGGTGATTCGTGGTCTCAACAGGTCTGGAGCAGAAGCTGTCACCCCAGAGGGCTATTGCTGCCTCCAGGGAACATGAGATATTTTAGTTGTCATGAGGGAAGAGGAGCTGCTGGCCTCTGGTGGTTGGAGGCCAGGGATACCTCTACTGCCTCTAAACACACAGAACAGCCCCCCTCCTCAGCAAAAGATTGTCCCAATCCTAAGTGTCAATAGCGCCAAGGCTCGGGAAGTGATTTCATCTCCATGGGAGCAGAAATCGGTTCTTGCTGGGGAAGAGGGTGAAACAATCAAGTATAAAGCAGAAGTTTGTGCACATAGTGCATATACAGGCGTTAACATCTCATGGGGAGGTGGCTGGAGGGAAAATGTCTGTTGTGTGACTCTGAGCAGTTTGTTTCTCTCCAAGATTCAGTTTCGTGTTTGTAAAATGGGGACAGTAATATTGCCTGGGGCAGGACATGGTGGCTCATGCTTGCAATTCCAGCTGCTCGAGGGAGGCCAAGGCTGCAGGATCGCTTGAACCCAGGAGGTTGAGACTACAGTGAGTTATGGTCGTGCTGCTGCACTCTAGCATGGATGACAAAGTGAGACTGTTCCTAAAAATAAAAAATAAGCCCGGGCACGGTGGCTCAGCCTGTAATCTCAGCTGAGATTTGGGAGGCCAAGGCGAGAGGACTGCCTGAGCCTGGGGGTTTGAGACCAGTCTGGACAACTTGGTGAAATTTCGTCTGTACAATAAAAATCACAAACACTAGCCAGGCATGGTGGCATGTGCCTGTAGTTCCAGCTACTTGGAAGACTGAGGTGGAAGGATCGCCTGAGCCCAGCAGGCGATCCTTCTGCCTCAGCGTCCCAAGTAGCTGGAACCACAGGCAAGTGCCCCTCACCTGGCTAATTTTTTTTATTTATTGTAGAGACGAGGTCTCGCCAAGTTGCCCAGGCTGGTCTTGATCCCCTGGGCTCAGGCAATCCTCTCACCTCTACCTCCCCAAGTGCTGGGATTACAGGCGTGAGCCACCACATCCGGCTTATGTCCATTTTACAGCTGGGGAAACTGAGGGCCAGTGAAATGAAGTGACTAGCTCAAGAGCAAATGGCTAAGAAGTGCCAGAGACCAGGCTCAAGCTGGTCCACCTGACCCTGGGCCCTGAGACATCAGAGCCTACAGCTAAAGAAGGAAAGGTGTATTTCACATAGGGATGAAGAACTCTAAAATAGAGATTGGCTCCTTTTCATACGTTAAGCAAGTTTCTCCCCCTTCCCCAAGGAGTTGCAGACAGGTTGGGGTAGGCTTTGGAATGATAACCGTCTGACCGACTCTGTCCAGGTTCTTGCTGGGGAGCCACCTGGAGAGCTGCTGGGATCCACTTTTTTTTTTTTTTTTTTTTTTTTTTTTTTTTTTTTTTTTATAATTAATCAGTATTTTTATTATAGTTTTGTGGGGTACAGTTAAGGGTTAGGTGTAAAAGGTGCCTCAGGCCAGGCGCTATGGCTCACACCTTTAATTCCAGAATTTTAGGAGGCTGAGGTGGGAGGATTGCTTGAGCCCAGGAGTTGGAGAACAGACTGGGCAATATAGTGAGACCTGGTCTCTAAATATGAAAAAGCAAGCCGGATGTGGTGGTACGTCCCAGCTACTGGGGAGGCTAAGGAGGAAGGATTGAGGCTATGGTGAGCCATGACCTATTGTGCCACTGCCCTCCAGCCTGGGTGGGAGTGAGACCCTGATTCCCCCCCCCCAAAAAAAGTGCCTCAGGCATTCCAAGGAGTGGCAGGACTTGGGGGATGTCTAGGGGTTGTGAGCACACTTGGGGTGTCTAGAGGTGTGGTCAGCATGATACAGTACATCTCAGGGGCTGTGGGTGGTCTTCTGGGTGACCCCAAGGATTGTGGGTACATCTTGCATTCTGGCCTGGTGTGCGGGACTGTCTCAGGAGTTGTGGAGGAACCTCGCTGTGTGCCCATGGGACCGGTGGGGCCCTCCAGGATTCTGGTGGCACCTCCATGGTTATGGGGCACCCCTCAGGCATCTTAGGGACTGTGGAGGCATCCTTGCGGTCTGTGAAGGATCCTAGGGTTTGGGGGTTCCTACATGTGGCCTGTGGAAATGGCTCTGTGGCTGTGAGGAGTTCTAAGGGTGCTGGGGAGGGTCTCTGCTTGACTCAGGGATGACAGCGAGCTCTAGAGGAATTTGGGGACGTCTGAGGAACAGTGATGGGGTTTGGGAATCTGAAGGGGGATTTCATGGGCTCTCAGATCCCTGCCGGGGCTGTGGGTTCTCGGGGTGTCCTGGGGAGTGAGGGTGTCTCAGAAACAATGAGGGCACTGCTAAGATTCTGAGGCCACCTGGGGAGCGAGAGACGTGCCCCAGGGACCATGAGGGCCTTTCAGAACACCTCCGGGTTGTGTGGGGAAGCCCAGGGATTTGGGGGATACCCCCGGCTTGTGCGGGTACATCTCAGGGAAGTGGGGATGTTCCCGGAGACTCTGAGGGACGGGGGATTCTCGTGGCATCTGTGGGCCCTCTCCACACCACAGAAAGTCTGCGGGAGTGCCCTAGAGATTTGGGGGCGCCCCCGGTGTTTGTGGGGACAACACAGGGACTGGGGGGTGGCCCTGGGGCCCGCGGGGAGTCCTC